CCCCCCCCCCTCCCGTTTGCTCAGGGGCAGGGCGTGGGCGGACGAGGGCAGCTCTCTGGGGCCGGACCGCCACGCCCGGGACCTGCAGAGCCTGGACCGCTACGCGCTGGAGCGCTGGGAGGTGGTGCTGCAGTTCATGGTGGGCTCGCCCAGCGCCGTGAGCCAGGACCTGGCCCAGCTGCTGGTGCAGGCCGGCCTCATGAAGAGGTGCCGCCATGTTTATGTTTCTGTTTCTGCATTTAGACGAGGTGCACCGCGTTTATGTTTCTGTTTCTGCATTTAGACGAGGTGCACGCCGCGTTTACCTTTCTGCATCACGCCGCGTTTACCTTTCTGCATCACGCCGCGTTTACCTTTCTGCATCACGCCGCGTTTACCTTTCTGCATCACGCCGCGTTTACCTTTCTGCATTTAGACGAGGTGCACGCCGCGTTTACCTTTCTGCATTTAGACGAGGTGCACGCCACTTTTACCTTTCTGCATTTAGACGAGGTGCACGCCACTTTTATGTTTCTGTTTCTGCATTTAGAAGAGGTGCACGCCACTTTTATGTTTCTGTTTCTGCATTTAGACGAGGTGCACGCCACTTTTATGTTTCTGCATTTAGACGAGGTGCACGCCACTTTTATGTTTCTGCATTTAGACGAGGTGCACCGCCGCGTTTACCTTTCTGCATTTATAGGCTTTTATCCAAAGCGCCTTACAAAGTAGACACAATGTTCCAGCTCTCATCAGTCTGACAATCAGCTCTCTGGAGGAAAACCCCCAGTCAGAGTCAGAGGAGATAGAAGGAAGCCCAAAAAGAGGCTTTGAGGGCTTTTAAAGCTGTTTTTGAGGGCTTTTAAAGCTGTTTTTCACGGCTTTTAAAGGTGTTTTTGAGGGCTTTTAAAGCTGTTTTGGAGGGTTTTTATGTTTCTGTTTCTGCATTTAGACGCTTTTATCCAAAGCGCTTTACAAAGTAGACACAATGTTCCAGCTCTCATCAGTCTGACAATCAGCTCTCTGGAGGAAAACCCCCAGTCAGAGTCAGTGGAGATAGGAGGGGATAGAGGGAAGCCCAGAAAGAGGAGGAGAGGGTCCAG